TCAACAGACAATTATTCAACAAAAACAAAATCTTCATAATTCTTCTTTAATTCAACAAATTAATCAATGGGAAACAAATTCAATTGAAAAAATTCAACAAACAGCACAACAATGTCGAGAAAAAGTGATGAAATTAACGCAAAAATCGATCAATGGTATTGAAAAAAAGTTTAGTGAATTATCTCAGAAATTAAAAGAAATTCGTCAAGAAAATGAATTTAATGAAATCGATTTAAATAATTGTCAATTGAAATTAACACAAATTACAAAAGAATTTCTTCCACCATCAGACATTTCTATTCGACAAGATTCACAAGAATTTATCAAGAAAATTACGGTTATCTCATTACTTCGTAAGTTTCTTCTTATTTTCACTCTTTTTTGATTTAAGAATTAATGAAAAAGATTTTGAATAAAAAGAAAATCTTTTATTTTAGAACAAAATCAAACAGAAAAGAATACATTTCAACAATTTGGAATTACTGTTGCTGGAGGAAATGGACATGGACAGGAATTAAATCAACTCTCTTACCCTCGTGGGATGTTTATTGATAATGATAAATCAATTTATATTGCTGATTGTGGAAATGATCGTATTGTCAAATGGAAATTGAATTCAAATACTGGTCAAATCATTGCAGGTGAAAATGGAGTTGGAAATCGAAATAATCAATTGAGTTGGCCAACAAATATAATTTTTGATAAAGAAAATAATTCTTTTATTATTTCTGATTATAAAAACAGCCGAGTAATTCAATATTTTGATCAAAATCAAACAAATCAACAAATTCTTATTTCATATATTAATTGTGTGGGTCTGACAATCGATAAAAATGGATTTATTTATACTTCTGATTCTCAGAATAATGAAGTAAGACGATGGAAACAAGGAGATAAAAAAGGTGAATTAGTTGCAGGTGGAAATGGTCAAGGAAATAGCCTTAATCAACTCAATTATCCTACTTATATTTTTATTGATGAAGATTATTCTCTTTATATATCAGATTATGAGAATAATCGTGTAATGAAATGGAGAAAAGGCGCAAAAGAAGGAATTATTGTTGCTGGTGGAAATGGCGAAGGAAGAAGTCTCAAACAATTATCTCATCCTCGAGGAGTGATTGTTGATCATTTGGGCCAAATCTATGTGGCAGATTGTTCGAATCATCGAGTAATGCGTTGGTGTGAAGGAGATGCAGAAGGTGAAATTGTTGTTGGTGGGTATGGTCAAGGAAATCAATCAAATCAATTAAATTATCCCACAGGTTTATCATTTGATAATGAAGAAAATCTTTATGTTGCTGATTGTTCCAATGATCGAATTCAAAAATATGAAAGAAATTTAATTTGAGAAAATTTTTATTTTTGTAAAATTTTTAACAAAAATAAATGAAAATGAATTAAAAAAACTTATTTTCCTAAACTAAATAAATTTATTTTTAATTTTTAGAAAAAAAGTAAATAAATATTTTTGTTAATTTTAATGTTAAATTGAAAAAACTGAAACAAATAAAATAAATCGGCCAGAATTTTTCTTGAATGAATCAAACGAAAAGAATTTTAAAGAAAATGGAATTCGAAAATATTTTATTTTTATAGAAAAAAACAAATAAAATAGTTTTTAAATTAATAAAAAGAACTTCTAAATAATAAATAAATTGTTTTTTTATTAGGTTTATTTTTGTGATGTTATGATTTATTGACAGAAAGGAAAGAGAAAAAAAGATGGGTGTGGGTGTGAGTGTTAGTCTGAAATGAAAAGAATATCCTCACTCGCACACATCCACCCACCACCCACCCACACTCAAAGAGAAAAGAGAGAAAAACCTATTCTATATAGTTAATGCTTTTCACAACTTTTGTCCTATGGTATCAGTTCAGGTCGGTCTGAAGATTAGCTTTTTTCTTAATTGAAGGGTTCAATAAGATTTTCACAGAAGAAATTATACGCAGTCGCACAATTTCAACAGCAACAACAACAACAAATACTCATGCATAAAGAGCACTTTTCGGATGCTGTAAAGCCTTCCAGAGCAGCCAGAACGCCGGCAAGTTGGATTGTTATCATATTATTTTTCTTTCCGATATTTTTCACTTCAAATATATTGTGAGGCATAATGAGCACTTCCTCTTCGTCAGGAAACTTAGAATACATCTTGATGTCGATCGCAAAAGTTTTCTCGTTCAGAATGTAAGTACAGAGAACGGGTTGTTTTCCATCTTTTTTAGCTGCAGATGAGGCGAAATCTGTAGCTACGTTTTCCAATTTGGATGTTGAGAGGAAGGCCATGTTTATAATATAATCGCCTTTATGATATTGTTCGATATCACTAAGGTCGCAGCTCATGCCGCGATATACAGTACCCGTATATTGGTTATGCGTGTTACGTAATATATCGTTACCAATAATTGTAAATGCGAAAATTTTATGCCACTGCCATTTTCGTGCCTCCAGTAATATAGCAGAAGGATCGTCATTCTCTCCCATTATCACATCGATTGACCAATGGATATCAGCTTCACCAGCAAGTCTCTGGTTGAGTTGCCGATAAAACGGACTTTCCAATGTATAGGCTTTCAGAAGAAGGAACACATCATTCTTGTGCAAAGCTTCTTTTAATGTTTCTAACACAGCGGTCATTTGATTTTTCTATAGAATACAAAATATCTACTCATAAGATGAATCAACAAAGATATAACTGCATATCGCTTATTTCCGCTCAACATATATCAACGAATTTGAACTTAGTTGTCTATATTGTACTATAAAAAATAGATGTATTACAGGAGCTTTTATGAATTTTGTAGAAGATATGAAACTATTCAGATTTAAGATGAATCATTGACGATGAAATGCGAAATCTTTGCAGTCTCATCTTGAATCTAAATGGTTTCATAGTCACTATCAAACGTTAAAAGTGTCGCTATGATAACTACTATTTAGAGAGCACTTAGAGGGTGCATATCTTTGATTTTGGGGAAAATAAAATCCTCTCTCTAGTCTAACCTGTTAAGAAGCCTAATGGCGATTGAGGAAGATGCATGAGTGAAGTTTATCGAAAGAATTTTCTTTTTTTCTTAGATTTGCATTCAATTATTCTACAAGTAGTTCTAACTATACACCATAACATTTGGTTTTAAAGTTTCACATTATGGAAAATAACTGTTATTTTATTAATTACATAATATGGTCGTCGTATAAAAAGTTTGTTAATATCTTAAGATCAATAAACTTTTTATTCTTTTCAAGATCATAAAACGAAAGTTTCTCTGAATGGGCGTCATATTTAACAACCTTTAGGAGAAAAACGCGCTCTCGTCTCCTCATTTTCAAAAGAAAATCGAAATAGAAACATAAAGCTTCACTATAATATTTCTTAGCCAAAATCAGTTTCCCAGTTGGAAAAAAATCGAAAACTACTCAAAGTTAAGTACATCAAAGTTCCAATTGAAGAGAATTCATATATCGAGAATGCATGCGATGAAGTTCTTGCATGTCAAAATGATCAATTCATTGTGTTACAAGAAATAGATAAAAACGCGAGATGAATTCTTGAAGAAGTATTTGAAAGTAATATTCGATGAGTTTTTCTCTTATACTTGATAAATTTATAGGATAAATATCGTTACAAAAGATTTCAGTTGTAGAAAAGAAACTCGGGGAAAAACTTAGATTTTCCAACCTTTTGTTCTGGTATATGGAAAAGTCAAGAAAGTTTTCGAGAAACACTAAGAGCTGGTATAAGGTGATTAGAGACAAAAATGCTTAGAGACAGTTCAAACGTTTATTAATTTTTCTCTGCGGAATGTCAAAAGAAAGCTACATATATTTTCTATATTGATTCTTACCATATTTTCGTCCGCTTGTAGGCGCTGATCGGCTGAAACCTTAGAGATGATATTTGCTGTCAATTGTGCTACTGAGTCTTTTGAATAATACCTGAAAAATATCAAAAGTTAATACTGTGAGTAACTTTGAAGATATTCAGATTCATATTAAAATCTATTCAAGTTTCAGATTTGATTCATCTAGTTTGTGACGTCTGCTTTTTTGCTTACTAACTAAAATAACTCAAAGATTATATGTTAATAGTTAGCTGTTACTTTAATTAGGTATGAGATTATCTGAATTTACATAGGAACACTCTACTTGCCAAAAATATTTATCCAGCACTTCAATGCCATGTTAAAGTTTTCTAATTAGCTAGAGTTCATTTTCACGTCAAGATAGAAGAGACACATTTTTATTAATCTACATCTTACTTTATCAATGAACTATTTACAAAGCCATACATCGCTGCCTCACGTCCAGTCTTTGTCCATTCAAGTTTTGTTGTACTAGCAACAAAACGCTGGCTTCTGTTTTCACGATGGTGCTCGTTGGATGCCATAACGCTCAGAATAATCACTGTACAATGCGAAGATCACAACCAATATACTAAATAAAAACTTGTTACCTAACAAACCATTGAATATGAAGGTAATAGATCTGAGTGATAGTGTGGAGGAATTGAAATCATTTACCGAATTGTTTGTTTGTTGTACAAATACTATTTGAAACGTGACTATACATTTTATTCTCTTAGGAAAAAGAAAAAAGTGAAGTGTTCGTGTGATTATTGATTCTTTTTCTTTTTGCGACGAACGCATTAAACCGCCTTGTTTTGTGTAAAGAATTGTTTATATCGTCAAGAAAACCAATGAATTTATCGAAGGTCAATAATCATAACAACTATTCAAGTATTAGGGTGTGGGTAGGTGGAATATTATACCTAACTAACCCTCACCCATACCCTTAAACATCAACTATCACGCTACAGAAGTTACAGAGTTGTGAAACTGTTTTTCGATCTCTCGCTTTTTTTTCTCGACGGAAAAAGAATAAACGCAATCAACAGATGTGACCAAAAATATATTTCTCATTTTTACAGTATATATGATAACGTCCAAACGCATAAGGCTTACATAAAACATTCATTTATTCTGTCTATTAGTTTCATATACACGTAAAGCCTACCTTTTTTTTACAAATTGTGCAATGGACAACACTGAAGCAAAAAATGAAAAAATGCTGTTTATTTTCACTCTTAAATAGTTCTTGGTGCAGCCACATTAGCAACCGAAGGAACGTAAAAGCAAAAAAAATTGACAATCCTATTGAATCACTGATTTGTCTGAAGCTTAAAAATATTTTGAAGCATATTGATGAATTTTTTCACTTTTTCTTTTCTTTTTTCGATCACTCAAAGTAAGCAAAAAAGCTCTCCAAAAGAAAGAATCAAGCGTCTACAAATCAATTTTGGATTTAGTCTACCTTCCCAGAAAATGAAAGTGACTGAATCGATCCTATAGACAACAATTGTGTTTTGAATAATCAGTCTATGATATCAAATCAGTTGATCTCTAAGTGAGACGACTTTCAAGTTATATGGCTACCATAGCATTTGGTTATCATCTTAGACACTTAGTCGTGTACGTTAATAAAAAGAGTGTACGTGGGTGTGAAGAGTGCGGGCATAAGTATCCATGGTGTCTGATTATCATATCGACACCCACACTCACACCCTCAAGTAACTTTCTTGCTCTGATTATTCCTCATTCAAGCTACTTCAGAAATTGAACGTAATATATTTCTCATCTTTGAACTAGCATCATTTTATTATATATTTTAGAAGAATACTAGTGATAGGAAATTGAAGAATAGTGCTTGATGTCTAAGCTTCACATCCATAAAATAGACGAACTTCTTTAACATCTGTAGGACTAAGCATGGTACGGCTGCCAATGGGGGCGTGTGAGGATGGAAATCTCACACCGACGTCTATCCAGCGAGATAGTATGACAACAGAACGGAGCAAAAGAAATGACCAGACGAGGAATCGAACCTCGGACCTACCGCGTACCGGGCGGATGCTCTACCAACTGAGCTATCCAGCCATATCTCTTCTCCGTCATATGATCCACATACTGCTGGATCATAACAGGGCGTTGTCTTGTTTTGGAACTATTGTTGGTTTACCATTATTGCTAAAATAATTTGTACCATAGTGCATTATTGAGCTGTAATTGTAACTGGTTTTTAAATCAACTGCCGACGTTCTCCATGTTTGCTTATCGAAGGCATAATGCTGCGAAAAAGATATATACATGATCTGATCACATTATTGCACTCGATCAAGGGATTGATGAGGTTGCTGTTTTGTTTAAACGCAGTAACAATAACTCAACTTGCTGCTAGATTTTTTGATGAGATGGTAAAACAGAATTTTTAAAGCAAAATTTCTGATCAAAGCTATACATCAATCCCAAAAAGAATTAATAGGAACTTCTAGTTTAACTAATGATGAATCCACTTTGTCGACATAGTACTACGATATAGAATTTTTATAAAAAACTACAGAGACTCGAACATCTTTTGCTTTCTACATATTCATGTAATAAAAAAGCTTACCCATTCCGGGTCAATGTTATTATAATTGATTTGAATGTAATTATCACGATCCGGACGCTGGTGTTCGTGTTTGAAGCCTATTTAGAAAATACATTTGATTTTTATCCTTGTTGTAAATGAATAAATCGATCGTATGAGGATACTTACCTATTACATGCAACAGTTCATGCTGAATAGTACCACTATCGAAGCGATTAGCCGTGGCATCTTTCTGCAATGTCAGTTTCAATGGATAATTAGGCCAATAACCAGCCTATCGAGTATCAACATGAATGAGAAATGATTTAATTCTTTGTCAGAAATTATTACTCACGTGTGCGCTACATCCCTGTCCATAAACGATAGTTACGAAAGTGGCATCGCTAGATTGTTTTGGTCGAAAATGAACACAAGCAGTACGCGATACCGAGTTTACAATAGGTGATCCTGTATCGTACATAACATGCTGCATGGCAGTCTCGATCATCTGACGATCTCCTGCATCTAATCAAAAGATAAGAAAGTCACACCGATAGCTAGTTGTTACAAAATAGAAATTAATAAGAAAATGACTCTCTTGTGTTATTATGACTATATTTTTATGTTAAATCGAATTGAAAGAACATTTCTCACTTGTAATGGCTGACATGTTGTATGGAATGATTCCTGAAGGCCATTTATTGACTTCAGCATACGCAACACCACGATTCATACTTTTAGATGGGAGGTTCGGGAATAACATATCACCACCATAGCCACCACCTATCAAACAAATCATGAGAATGAAAAAGAAATAAAACAAAGTGTATACCAAGTTCTTCAGGACTGATTCGAGTGTGGTGGATAGATGATGCAAGAGCTTTTGGTGGTGGCACTATCTAAATTAATTCGTCGATAATTTTTGAAGAGAGATGAAGAACAAAAAACGTACTGGAATTCCATGAACCATCAAGATCAAATACGATCCAAGAAGAATAACAGTATTTATCGTCATGTTTTTTCGAAGTCAACCAAAAGACAATGTAATAATTGTTGTGGTGTGATATGAAGAACAATCGCTTTTTATAGCAAGCTTTCGACACGCAAACACCTACGTATTCATTTATCACTATTCAATAGAAGCTTTTTTTTATTGGCGTCGAGGAACATCTGTTGATAGTATCACTATAATTGAATAGTGTCTAATCTTATCATTTAAATTTGAAGCTCAAATATCACTACTTGTTGTCATGAAAATAGGATTTAGCAATCAATAGAAGCAGATATTCGTAGAAAAAGAATCGGAGGAGGTCTAAGTAGTATTCGTTTGTAATTGATACTAATCGAATCTGACTAAAATGAGATATGATCCATTTGGAAGTAAAAAAAATTTATTGTAATTGAGACTCACTCATTTTCATTATTTTTTCGCCGAATTCATAATAATTGTTCTTGATAATAAAAAAACACATACAAACCTACAACATTAGAATATATAGAATACAATGTGGTGTTACATTCTACTTTTCAATTCTTCGTTTAGATGACTTGACAGAGCAATCGTTCTACTCAGCCCAGTTCCCGAGACTTAGTCAACGCTCAACATGCCAATCCGAAGCGATATTGACCGAGTTCCATCAATTTCAGAATTGCAATATTTTTAGTAATGATATATCTCTTCCTGATCCGTACTACACCCAATTCCGAAACTACAGCTGTTAAAATTAACTTACAATCCCACAAATCACCGAATAACTTACATGCGAAATTAATACACCTGTTTTTCCTACAAACAGTTTAAAATTTTAACTTTTAATTTTGACATAAAAGTAATTATCTTGAGGGTGTGAATGTGGGTCATATGATAGAGAACAGACATGGTTGAATAGCTCAGTTAGTAGAGCATCCGTTCGATACACGGTTGGTCCGAGGTTCGATTCCTCGTCCGGTCATTTCATTTGCTCCATTGTTTTGCCACACTATCTCGCTAGGGAGATGTCGCGTGTGAGATTATCCATCCCTCACATCCATCCACACCCACATCCATATCGACACCCACACCCTCAATGGCACTCTACCTGATTCTTTCTTTTGGAGAGTTTTTTGTTTACTCTGAGTGATCGAAAAAAGAAAAGAGAAAGTGAAAA